GGCCCTGCTGGAAATGCTGGACCGAGAGGAGTATATCCTGGAATCACAACGGATCGGTAGGGAGTCGTTAAGAAAACTAATCAACTTGACAAAAAGTACAACCTATTTAACATTCAACGGGACGATCCATGAATAAATATTTTGACTTTCCATGGGATCGCCGCTCTCACCACTTTTGGCAAACGTGTACATGGACAAAATAGAAGAGAGCTTCAAGATGGTACCGCCACAACTGACAGTGTTCATGCGGTACCTGGATGATTACCTCGCACTTTGCTCACATGGAAGAGAAAAACTGGAAGATTTTCTGAAGTTTGTAAACCAGATTGATGAAAAAATTCAATTCACGATAGAAGTAGAAGAAGGTGAGCGGTTACCGTTCCTGGACTTTGAAGTGATTCGCTTTAATGTTCAGAAATAATTCCTATGCAGGGATAATAGTCTATTTCCAGTCCCATCATAATTGCAAGCTAAAGATGGGAATGATGAGGAGTATGATCATCCGAAGCCTACGCTTAACGGATGTAGAATTCTGTGAAGAGTAGCTGGACAAATTGACGAGGATATCCCTCGACAATGACAAACTAATCGAAGTGATACAAAGAAACATACGGGCCGTTGAAAGCCGATGGCAGATTAGGGACTATGAAAGAGCAGTAAGGACGAGGAAGGATTCACCAAAGTGGATGCGCCTTCCTTCCTGCGAAATAATTAATAAACTACGGCCAATATTGAGAAAAGGTTATATTTAGGTGGCCATGAAAGATAAATCAACACTTTTCATAAGTTTACCTACGCAATCTAAAGGGGTAGACAAATTGGATTGTTCAGGATTATTTATCATGCGGCGTCTGCGAAAAGAAATATATTAGCGAAACAGGAAGAAAAATGAGCACAAGGATCAATGAATATCAGAGGCTCTGCAGGAAAAGGGATACCGAAAGATGAGAACTAGCGAAACACATCGCACAGACTGAACACGATATCATTTGGAAGGCAACAACACAAGGAAGTGGCAGATAAGGGAGGCCATTGACATGGTTGGGGAGAGAAATCTAATGAACAGGAGATTGGAGGAAGGTAGAGTTAGCGATAACTTTGCCAACTGCCTAAGCAAACTCGGAGAAAACAAAAATAGAGCAAGACCAGCAAAAAGGAGACGCCTGGATCAAGGATCTACCACTAACCATTCATATGACTTCAATTTACTTTAAGTTCAATTTCATTCTCATTTATCTTCATGTCATTTTCAATCCAACTTGCTAACTCTATTTAACTACTTATCCCAATGTTTTATATCTACCAGCCTTATAATTCTAACAATAATATATATAAAAATTCCATCTTAGTCTGGAAGCTATGATTGGGATGAAAATTAAGGATAAAACCCTTCATAGGCTACTTTCGTGTAGAGTTCCATATCTAACTTCCCATGTTCCCTAATTACCAAGACATTAATAATTGGTAATGATTTTTTCATTTTTAACTTAACTTTACATTTGATATCATTTCTTCT